TTAGGGTTTAGGGTTTAGGCAAAGAGCTACATGCCTGTTTACCACGACTTTGGAGATGGGACTGTGAAGCTTGTTGCTGGTCGGCTCAGGGAAGGTTTGAGATCGACTGTCCATTTTGTGCCAGAGCTCGTTCAACGCATTCTACTAAAAAGTACAGGGGATTAAAAACCCAGAGGGTCCGAGTACCCAAATAGTAAGGTTTTAGGTCCCCGAATCCATACTCTTAATGGTTTTTGGACCTTGAAACCCTACTATTATTTGGGTACTTGGACCCTCAGGGAAGTTAAAAGGGTATTCAGAGGTAGCCAGCAATCCTCCGAAGATGGGGCATGGAAACAGAGCTCTGGAGGTAGTGGTGCCGATGGGTCCAGGCGTCTCTGTGATTTGACATTTTCCATGCGCATTTTTGAGCAGCAAACTTGATTTAGAATGTCGAGTCCCAGAGCCCAGGAACGAAGAGCAAATAGAGAACAGTCAGCCCCAAACCACAACGCATCATGCCCAGATGCCACAAAGACGCGATATGCAGGCCATCCATCTCGGAAGCGCGTGCCGTTGCCTCCTCAGCTCGCATCCGGCCTGGAGGTCAGCGTTTGTGGTCCAGGTTTACTTGGAGGGTCATGGGTAGTTATAAGTGGGGTTATAAGTGGGGTAACCATACTTCTAACCCATATCAGGGGAGTTATAACCCCGCTTATAACTACCCATGAACCTCCAAGCTTTCTCGACGGGTCGACGTGCTTTTGGTTGGGGCCTCAACTGAGCACTCAGGGCCGCCCGGGGCTACTGGCAGAACCCTCAACCCTGAACCTCCAAAAACCCAAAGTCCCGATCGTCTCGAAGGATGAGAAGTATGCTGAAAAATAACTTAAAGTTATTCTTCAGCATACTTTTAACCCTTCGAGACGATTGGCTGAAGACTTATTTGTGGTTTCATCCTAAGCCTAAGCCAAACCTCGACCTACGCCCTCGACCCTTGACCCTAAACCCGAACCCTAAATGTCTTTTTCTGGAAGACCTCTTGGCATAGCAGCAGGGTCTTAAATTAAGTAATTTAAGCATGCTTTCGACTAGCCTCCGTCCGAACGGACTCTATCTTGGTCGAAGTAGAAACCCTAAACCCTAAACCCTAAACCCTAAAACCCTAAACCCTAAACCCTAAACCCTAAACCCTAATTAAACCCAAACTAAACCCTACCGCCCCCCGGCCCCTCCTTCCAGTCTGCGAGCACCCCGTGCGGAAGTGAGCCGAGCCTGCTTCGACCGAGGTGCTGGAGTCGATGTCTCGGACGCTGACCAGCGCGCGGCTGAGCTGTCCTTGTTGCTGCAAGTTTGGGTTGGTTTTAGGGTTTAGGGTTTAGGAATCACTTTTGCGAGAGGTGTTGTTCGACCATTCAAACTCCTAGACACACACACACCCTGGAGTTAGGACAGCCCTAAACCGAAGCCGGAAGGTTTCTGCTTCAGGATTGCAGAGCGCAGAGACTCGGTGTTGAGTTCAGAGTCCAGGGCGGTTCTGGCACCACTTCGGGATGCTCGGAATACAGGGTTTAGGGCCTTTTTTCAGAGTTTACTTCCATTTAAGACCTAAGCCTAAACCCTAAACTCTAAACCCTAAACCCTAAACCCTGAACCCTAAGCCCTAAACCCTAAACCGGAAGTTCAAGCTTCAGGGCCTGATAGCCGTGGCAGTGAAGAGTCGGAACCGCTGTGATGAGCAGATCAGAGGTCCGAGCCACAACGGTAAACTGCTCATGGCCCTCGTGCTTTTTGGGATTTCGGGTTTGGGGTTTAGGGTTTAGGGGTTCAGGGTTTAGGATTTGGGGTTTAGGGTTTAGGGTTCCTGGCCTTCGTGCTTTGCTGAGCGCCTATCGTACAACTCTGTTACACGTTGCTGGGCCAAGCTCGACGTCGAGTGTTTTGTGAGTTTCCAACGTAGGTCCCACATCGTCGAAACCCTACAGCGCGACGAGCAATTTATATCACAGGGTTCTAAGAAGCAAAACCGTAAAAGAGCTGTGAAGGCTGCACCTCAACTCCAAGATTCCTAAATGTGGGTTTCCGAGAAAAGGGGGTACCTTATTTGGGTGTCCTTATAATAAGGTCCCTATTATTTAGGGCACTATTAGGGTCCCCTTTCCGGAAACCCCCAAATTTTAAATCCTACAGCTGCGAGCGAGCCCCTCCCCTGCAGATTCCCGCGCCAGCAACGTCGGGGGCCTCACCAGGGTTGGGAACTTTGGGCTTGAGTGTCGTGGGTATCCCTTATCCATAAACCCTGAGATCCAGCCCAGAAGCCGTCGAAATTGAAGGATTGGCAACAAGTTGGTGGAAAGTTATACCACAAGCCGGAAGCCCGTGAAGCCTTAGATGTCGAGCTAACTTAGATCCGTGGGTAGCTTCCTAGGGTAAAAAAATCTTTCAAAAAAGCCCCCAAGCGACTTCCGAGAATCAGGTGCGGCTCCTAAGCCAGTTGCAAAGGGGTCTCTACTCGAAAACAATCCCGAGATCTACCCCTCAGGCAGCCCTCTACGCCAACATCCCCCTAAATGCAAATACCTACTTCCAAAAGCCCGCTGGAGCCCTGCAACCGAAGCCTCAAATGCTGTTGGGCACTCCAGGTGAGCCACGGTCAATCTCGGGGACATTGGGTTCTGTAGCCCATCCCAATCTCCCAGTTGCTGTTGACAGTAGCTCGTGCCCCCAACTAGCCCTAACCCCGAAACCCTTGTAGAACCTTTTATATAAAGCTCTTGTGACCAGAACACATGATAAACTAGCCATCATATCTTTCTAAAACCCCCCCCCCCCCAGAACCCCACCCGCCCCCCATCCTTCAAAAGAAGCAACAATTGATCAGCCCCTACAAACACTAGTAGAACGACCACATCCTCCACTCACCTCGGCGAAGGTCGCTGTGGCCCCGAACACTGGAGAGCTGCGAACTTTAGCTCTCTGGCTCAAGGGTGACCAGTGGCTTGAGGGAGGGCCAGGGTTGAGTATAGTTTAGGGTTTAGGGTTTAGGGTTTAGGGTTTAGGGTTTAGGGTTTAGGGTTTAGGGTTTAGGGTTTAGGGTTTAGGGTTTAGGGTTTAGGGTTTAGAGTATAGTTTAGGTCATTCGGTGTTGAGGACAACTTCGGGGTTGGGCTGAGGGCCACGGCAAGTTTGGCAGTAGGGTGTTGCAGGGTTTATGCCAAACCCCCAAACCCCAGACCTTCGAGGATCCGGTTCATAACGCAAGACTTCCGAGATCAGCCTCGATAACTCGGGGCTGAGAGCTCGGCATCTGCTGCAGAAGTATTCAACCTTAAACCCAGAGTCTTGAGGATGTAGGGTTTGGGTTTACGGTTTCGGCATTTGTAGTAATGACAAGCATGGTAGGCCCAGGCTTGATACAATCTCATCAGCAATGCTTTGAGATTCATGTGGCTTTTTCAATCCTGAATCTTAAGCCCAATGCTCTGCACTCCACACCCTCATGGATCCAGCATCGAGGTGCACGTTTGGGGCTAGTTCAACACCTCGAAGGCAAGTTTGCAAAAGCTCAGCCCAGACGGCCCCCGGTCTACTGTTGAAAACCGGAATAATTACTGGCATTCTTCAGGGTTCCCTAGTGATACTACAGTACAGGGGGCACCAATACTGTTTGGATCATCGAGGGCCTGTCCGTCAACGCCTCGACCGGAGGAAGCAAACTCTTGCTGTTTTCGTTGTCTCTCCAGTCTTCTGACATTTCTGAGGTCGCAGAAAGTTGGAGCACCGGAAATGTCCGAAGCCAAGCGATGCAGTGAAACGGACATGGATACGATGCGGGAGAGCATGCATGAGAGAGCGAAGCCGGTTTTTCGACACTGGATGCACTGGGCGGTCCCGCTGTCCTGAAGAACTGAAGCTCGACTCTGGAATCAGCGGTTTATGCTTGTCCACGATCGGTGACGCCAGATCCGGGCTCAAGGAAGAAGTCAAGATCTCAGGTAGTGTGGATGATTGATTGGTCCGGAGTATTGTCAGGGGCGCCAGCTCCGGCACCTTCACCGCCTGCTGCGGCTAAGGCCAAAGCCCAAGCGAAAGCCAAAGCGAAAGCCAAGGTGAAAGCCAAGGCGAAAGCGAACCCGACAATCAGCGCTGAGCTGTTGCGGGCCAGAGTAGACAAGTGCCAGTGGTGTGGCCAGAAGCGACATGGTTGGTGCGACAACTCACTACTTTTCTACTGCGAGACATGCTGGGGTAGCTACGATGCGCTTGAGGTAGATGGTGAGGAGTATGCCGGAAAAGAATGGCATGATGCGATCCTGGAGGCTGACAACTTAGCAGCAGGGAACGACGATGTGGACAGTGGGGAAATGATGGAAGCCATGAAGGACTGTCTCAAGGAGATAGATGCAACCCGCTACCACCCGGAGGAGGATGCAGCTGAAAGCGAGGAGGATGAAGATGACGAAGTTGCTGATTTGGACCAAGCCTTCAGAAAAGAAGCGAGGGTCGAAGCTCCGGAACTCCAGCAGGCCCATGTCATCGTTATCGTGGATACTTCTGGCTCCATGCGGACAGTTGATGTGAAGCCAGATAGAGGGAGTGAGTGGGTTTCTCGCATGGCTGCGGTGAGGGTGACGCTTGCCGCCTTTTTCGAGAAGCAGGCACGATGACATGCGGATCCATTTTTTTGCTGAGATTCAGGTGTAAAGTTTGTTTTGTGAGGTCTTTCAGCGCTTGATTTCGTTCATTCTTGGAGCCGCCTCAAGACTCTGCATACATCTTGAGGTTTGGTGAACGTGAGTCTGTCTTAGGATTCCACTTAGGACGCTTCGCGGAAGCTGTAGGCACCCGCTCACAGCGTCTAGGCGCAGTTCGTGATACGCGACCATGCCAAGCAACTCAAGCGAGTCCAAAACCTTCGCGCTTCTGCTAAAAGCTGGAGCAATTGCCCTGGGCAACTTGAACATGCCGTTGATAACAGCTGCTGCATGCAGCTCGAAGACCAAACATCGTGCCTCCCCAACCATACGCGAGCGAAGACGACAGCATCCCGAAAGCTGCAGCGTCATGGTTTTCCGGGTAAGTTCGCCCCATCTTCTTATTCTTTGCATGCCGTCTATCAGTCTCTTTTGGGAGGTGAAAGCGGCTTCAACTCAAGCCTACTTCACACTTGATGGTCACGCAGCAAGTCCCATGAATCCCACACCTATACGGACTACCGTCTCAAGCCTCGCATGCAATGGTCTCCTTGCTGTCAGGTACAAGCAGCGAGCCCACATCGTTTTTCCCTCATTTCTTTCAGCGAGATATCACACATGCATTTCTGCGCGAAAACCGCAGACCGGGCCACGATGCTTGTGAATTCATCGCTGAGTTTTGCAGCCAGCCACGGCACGCACTTCGTAGCTGCGCTGGAATCTGCAAAGACGGCGCTGTCTAAAGCTGCTGGCACGCCCCATCTTCTCATCTTCAGCGATGGCCGTCCAGCAGATGGAGCGAAGACGTTGGCCCTCGTGCAGGACATGTTGAAGGAGCACACATCACTCCGGATTCATGCCATCGGCTTTGGAGATGGGCTGGAGTTCGAGATGCTACAGCAGTTGACATCCATTGGACGTGGCACCTTTGCGCCGTCGGGTCGGTCGGTGGCTGCCCTGCACGGAGCTTTTGCATCTGTCACGTCAACGATTACACTGCAACAGACGGTCACTAGCCGCACGAGCAAGTCGAGCACGTTCTCTTTCCAAGGTGGCCATGGCCCGGGGCAGGCCAGCCGCGACGAGGCTCAGCACAAAGCCAAGGAGAAGAGTTTGAACCAGAGGCAGGGACGGGCCAAACCCGGTTAATTGTCAAATGTTCAGGCGCTTGTACAGTTTACACACCTCAGAGGCTTGCATTTAATCATGTTTGAAAGGTTTGCCAGACGCAAGGAAGAGAGCATTCAAGCGGCTAAAGCCTTGATACGGTGTAAACCGCCTTGCAAGGGCAGCAGGAGGTTCAGGCTGGAGGGTTTCAGGATTTGCTTGATTGGAGTGTGCATGGTGTGTGTGTGTGTGCCCCTAAACCCCAAACCCTAAACCCTAAACCGTGCCGCTTTCAGCGTGCAGTCAGCTTTTGCGAGGGTGGCACTTGCAGTGCTTGGATGTCAGGTTTGTACAGGGGGTCTGGCCCGGCTTGGCAGTCACTTTGTTGAAGACCTTCGTCGGGAGGGTATGGGGTGGGGAGAAGTCTGTGTATGGGTAGCCCAAAGGGGGCCGGTTGCAGCGAGATAGCGTTGTCTTGGTTGTAGATTGTGAGCTTGAACCGCTCGTTGCAAAACCACCATTAAGCAATTTAAGCCGTTTCAGCATTTTGAGCTGCAGGGCCGTGTATGTTTATGAGTTCAATCATTGTGTACTGTACGCATGAAATCACTAAATGCTCCAACCTGTGTAAAAACAATGTTCCGCATGTCGCCCAACTATGACCAGAGGCAAGTGACCTTCGAGTATGCCCACAAATTCGTCTGGGATGACAAATCCCTCAACTTTCCATGTAGCCGCCGTGGACTGAATTTCAATGGCAAAGGATTCCGCGAGTACCTGCATCGACCTGCCTCATTGTTTGCGCCTGTGTACATCAGACTCCAGCCGTTCACAGAGGGAGGGATGCGACATGTATATTGTTTCAAAGACTCGAGCGTTCACCTTTGGGCAGAGCAGGGCCGTGACGAAGTGGCCATGCAGGCAGCAGGGACTGATGCGCGCATGGTAGCGAAGCTGTCAAGGTACTCCGATGAGTGGCACAACTCCTTCGATGTCGTGTCATCCTATGCCAAGAGCAGTGCAATAGCCAAGTGGTTCTCCCGCATATTCATGCTTGCGGCAGCTGACAGACTTGGTTTGAAAGGGCGCAGCATGGCCCGAATTATCTTCGTGGAGTGCTACATTTACGAGGCAAGGGACGGATACGATGCACCTACCAAGTTCTTTGTCGGTGAACGGTATTTGCCAGGATCCTTCCTCAAGTACAACTCGAATCATGGCTACGTGAATCCGGAAGCCCCCGACACAGAGATCGCGCAGGCATTCTCGCACTTCACCTTTGAGGCAAGCGGAGGAAAACACATGGTACTCGACCTGCAGGGTGTGTATGTGGATAAGGAACATCGACGTCGGCCGCACATCATCATGACAGATCCGCAAGTGGTGTCCCTGGAGAAAGCTTTCGGGCCTGGTGATCTGGGTGTCGAGGGTATGCGTGCTTTCTTCCACAGTCACAAGTGTGGACCGACGTGTCGTCAAATGCGGCTGGATCCATACACCCTCAAGAGACTCCGCCGCATCATCCGCAGGAAGAAGGTGGGATGTACTGGACCCGAACAGGACGGCGACGTCAGCTCCGCGCCCGCGCCGGTAGGGGAGGTTGCGCCGCCTGCTCTGATGCCGCCTACCCCTAGTGAGTCTGGGAGCATCATGAGCCTGCGGGCTCCAGAGGCAGTCGCCCCTTTGCAACCAGAGGCAACTCCAGGCAGTGAAGCTCCTGCGTCGAGTGCGTTGACAACTTACGTTCCTAGCCAGCCCAAGGCAGACATGGCATCTGAAGGGCAGTTGCTCAGTCGCCACTCTTCGGCTGTGGGTTCCAAGGCAGGAGGTCCTTTGTCGGCCGTCATGGCTCGCTCACCTGCTGTCACAGAGCGGCCAAGTTTCGAATCATGGTTGCAAAGCCAAAGCACACAGCAAGACTCTCTTCGTGCCAGTGCTCCACCTTTCCGGCCGGCCTCGGCGCCAGAGCCCCTCACCAGTCAGAGCATGGCCACGCCGCCAGCAACCACCATCCTTGCCGCCCAGCCTTCGACTCCTCCAGGAGAAGTCGGACTCAGCCTTGCAGACTCAGGCGCGAGCTTGCGAACTCCACATGCAATCCCCGAAGCAACATATTACTCGCATGAAGCCCGAAGCCTTGCAGCTTAAACCCCATGCCCTTCGGCAGTCCGCCCCCTGGCCAGAAACCCGCCTGTACCAGAAATTGCTGAATCGGTTTAGGGTTTAGGGTTTAGGGCCAAGAAACAGGTGCAAGCCGTGCATCCACGAGTTCGTTGAGATCCGAGGAAGGTGGGTCGTCGGATTCCACGGCCGATCGGCCGCCAAGCCCTCAACAGGACATCCTCAAGCCAAAGGGTTTAGTGCCTTGAGGCTCGGGAGCTTTAGGGGGTTTAGGGTTTCTGCACTTGGGAGTTGTTTACTAAGAAGTTCCCTTTTTTTTGTGCTTCTTCACACAAACATAGCTTGGCGAATCTCATGTTGCGTCAATCTCGCTGGAGATCCAGCTTTTCGCACCGAAAGTTATGAAGCCCGAGCCTGAACCATGGACCCGAAGTCCCCTAGGTCCTGAGGCTCTAAACCCCTGCAGCCCCAAACCATGCACCCTTACCCAAACCCCAGTCCCCAGATGGCTGCAGGAAGCCAGGAAAACGGTCATCTACGGCCCTGGCGGTCAGAAGCTCTCCACAAACTGTGCGAGCCGCGAAGATGTTGCCAAGGCCATTGTTGCGCAGTTGCTTGGCTTTGGATTGAGGGCTTCGGCTTAGGGATTAGGGCTTCCAATTTTGTTTAGGGTTTGGGGCCTAGGGTTCAGGGACTGAGAGTTGTAGAATGCTTTAGAGTCTCTAGTCCAGGGACGCGGCCTTTAGGTTGCGCCATAAGTTGCGCTGTAGGGGTTTTACAAGGGTACGGTTATAAGATCAAGACCGGCAGACACAGGGCAGCTGGTCGGATTCCTGAGTCTTCGCACTTCACGGCTTGGAGTTTACCTGTAGTCTCCATTGTAGTTCCTTTTTTTGGTTTAACCAATTATATATTAAGGATTTTATAAGGTATCCCGGTATCCCCAAAAAGGAACTACAATGGAGACTGTAGGTAGTTCCTGGCAGCTTAGGTGGTCAATTCCCGAAGAGGAGCAGCTCCTCTTTCAAGAGTCCTCCTCGCAGGTGCGTCAGCCGACCCGCTTCGCTTCCGTAGCTCTCGTGGGCTCTGAATTCTGTGTCACTCCGTGTCGGAACAGATTGATGACGGCTTTGGATCTCTGCTTCGAAATTTAGAAGATGTGGTTTACTGAATGCACCCGCCACGCGTCAAGAACAAGTAGAGTGAACCCAGCTAGTCTGATGGCCCACTCTTCGTTGGAAATCCCTAAATTCAAGCCTGCAGTGCCAAACCGCAAGACTCAAATCCTGAAAGCCCAAATAACAGCCGAATGCACTAAACTCCAAAGCCCCTGAACGCACCACCCCCTGACAGACCGGCACAGACTTCTTCCGTGTGGAGCGCAAGATGGACCCAAGGAAGCTGAGGCTAAGTCGGGGCGCTCTCAGAAAAGGTTTAGGGAACCCTTAGGGTTTAGGGGTTAGGGTTTCGGGTTTAGGGTTTAGGGTTTAGGGTTTCAGAAAACCAGGGTTATTAGGTTTTGGGGTTCAAGGTTCGAGTTTAGGGCTTCAGAAAACTGAGGATGTTGGAGTTTAGGATTTCGAGTTGACAGTAGGGTTTCGAAAAACTACGCTTATCTGGGTGTAGGGTTCGGGTTTCAGAAAGCTAGGAGTACCCAATTCGGGTCCTTGAAGCTTATAAGGATTATAAGGTGTATCAGAAGCCTGTACAGGAGTGTTTTCGTGCTATCTGTACCTGTATGCTTGTCTGTTCAGGAGTGCCAGGGCACTGTGAAGAGGATTCTGATCCGTCCTTTGCTTTTACCCTCTTGCAGGGCTCCTGTGCAGGTTCACCCAAGCCAGCATCAGTCCAACCTTCCGCGACGGGCGGCAGATCTTCCAGCTCATGAACGATCTTAACTCTCAGGAGGCTGTCTTTTCTGGCTCGGGTTTGTAGCTTCGGAGCTTGGGGTCTAGAAGGTTTCGGCGTATGTGCCCGCGAGGCAGGGTTGCGGCTTTCACCCTAAACTTCCAAGCCCAAACCTAGGGAGATTGGAGTCTCTGCATAATATAGGGGCCTCAATACTTACCTCTTTTTTTCTTTTTTTGTGGGGGGGGGTTCCTTATTGTCATTATTATTATACTATAAAAGACTATAAAGGACCCGAGTTCCCTATTCTAAGTATTAAGGCCGTTGCACAGGTCGACCCCCTTCGAGAGCTCGAGCCCTTAGATGTTGTGTGGCACAACGGGTGCCTGGGCTTTCAGGAGTTTGTGATGTTCAACTGAACTGCTTTCCTGGAGCTCGTATTTCTTCGATGGGGTTTTCAAGGCTTTGAAGCGTTAGGGTTCGCGGTCCAGGGTTCTTTGGATTAGGAGGTTTAAGTCTACAGTTGTTTTTCGTGGGCTGTGGTGAAGCAGGTTTCGGGATTTGGGGTAGAAGTTGGAGTAGCTTGCTGCAATAAACGGAAGTTACGACTCTGGCGGTGACGCGGTCATTCGCGCGCGGAAGTTACTGTCCGGGTCTAGGTCAGAGGCTTTGAATTCGGCAGCTCAGAAATCGCTTGCAGCAAGAAACATCACAAGAAAAAAAAGGGGGACAAAGGTAATAATAAAGGACAGCGGAGTAGGTCACCCGCCGCGTTTCGTGCTCTGCAGCAAATCCGAGGTATTGGCGGTCTTTGTCGAACCGTCGACTGTGGACCCTGAAGCATTGTACAGCGGCGATGACCGACCAGGCACTTTTCGTCCGGGTTCGCGTCCGAGCACCGGATGCGGAGTTCCGGACGAAGTTGACCAGCACCAATGATGGTGTATCGGTTTTGATTATGAACCGTGCGCGCTCGCCTTCGCCAACGGCAGCGCGTTGATTTTAATGTGCAGACTTCGTACGCTGTAGGAGTTGGCGTCCTTCTGACAGGATCATTTTAAGACCTAACACAGTTCGCTGAAAGTGATTCCAAAGCCATCATGTTCACCTCTGAGCTTCTTGAACCCGAAGCCCCAAAGCCTGTTGAGGAATCTCTACACATGTCATGACAGGGCGCATCATCATTGAAAGCAGTTCCCGAAAGACTGAAAGCCTAAATGCTGAGCCTAACGCGGTCCACCTTGCACTCAAACCCCAAACCCTGCACCCTCAATCATTCCCCAAAACCCAAGATGAACAACGCCTTCGACCTAGAGCTTCAGACCCTAAGTAAGGCCTGGGGTGCTCGAGGTGCTAACCCTACCCCTTAAACCCCAAACCCCAAAACCTAAACACTCCCGAAAAAACCCTAAGCCCTTTATGCTAACCCCCAAACCCTGATCCCAAAACCCTAAACCCTGGGGTGTCCCGGGGAGCTCCGAGGTGGTGACCTCGCGCTTCTTCAACCTCGGCACAGCGACCATCGCCTTGCCTGCAGCGGATGGTGGCACACAGGCCGGTGTACGTCATGCCAGTTTCTTCAAGGGACGTTTAGGGTTTGGTTTTGGGATTTAAGGTTCAAGGGAAAATAAACCCTAGACCCTAAACCCTAAACCCTGAACCCTAAACCGGTTTCTGACATGTGGATTGGGATTTAGGGTTCAAGGGTACTGGCTTTGGGGCTTAAGGCTAAAAGGGGTTAGGGTTAGGGTTTAGGGTTTAGGGCTCAAGGCTAAAAGGGGTTTAGAGTTTTGCCTGTTGGGTGAAGGGGAGTTTGGGGGGTTCATGCCTAAGCCCATTGGGTTGCCGGACGGGGGGGCGGTTCTGCCTGTTGTCGGAAGTTGCGATGAAGAGTGGAAGAGGCTGCAACCATTCAGATGGTGGGTTTGGGTTTTAGCGTTTCTTCGTTTTGGGGTTTAGGGGTTTTCGGGCTTAGGGCTTTGGGGCATAGATACCGGCTCAAGGGGCTAGGCTAGAAGCTTTCCGAATGGGAGATCGCGATGCCGAAGAACCTTCGAACAAACGATGCAGTCCCTTGTCCTCTTTCCATGTTATCCGCGCATGTCGGTTAGCCTCACTGTCGCAGCGTGTTTAGAACTCTTCTTTGTTCTTCTTCGTAGTCCTGGAACACCACTTCGAGGCCAAGATAACGGTAACAAATCGAAGCCAGAATGCTAGTAACAAGTAACAGGTGAATCTATGCCATAGGGGTTTCTTATATCATCTCTCGTCTCCGATGTCCAGGCTTGCTCGGCAAATGGTCTTTGCTGCTGGGCTGCATTCAGGTTTTCCGTGGCCTGCGAGGGTTTAGGTTAAGGGTTTTGGGAGTTTATTTGTAGTGTTTACTTGGAGGCTCATGGGTAGTTATAGGTGAGGTTATACGTAGGGTAGCAATACTTATATCCCATATTGCGGGACTTACAACCCCATTTGTAACTACCCATGAACCTCCAAGTAGGGCTTGGGGTTTTTTGGTTTAGGGCTGAGGGTTTAGAGAGTTTGCGGCGCATAACATCGGGTTTAGGCTTTAGGATCATATGGGATTTTCCGAAAATGGGGCCTGGGGTCCTTATAACAAAGATCCTATTATTTAGGGTACTATATTAGGGTCCTAGGAGCCCTGTAAGGTATATTCCTTAACCCTAAACCCTAAACCCTATAGATCCCTATAGATCCCTTAAAGGAACCCCTTCAGGAACCCTAAGGTCTATTCCTTACTTAAGGGATACATGAGACTTGTTGGTTCAATCTAGGGTACTATATTAGGGTCCCCTATTTTCAGAAACCCAGAAAACCCTAAACCCTAAACCCTAAACCCTAAACCCTGGGTGTGGGAGCCTTGATACAGGAGACTTGTTGGTTCAATACTGTTGATGGACAAAATTCTGCATGACCCAAATATAATATAATACCAGAATTCCTATAGTTTAGGTATATAAGGTCATGCAGGATTTTGTCCATCAGCCATAGCGGGGTTTGGTTGAGTAGAGCAAGACCTCAGACTGGGTCTCGGCTTTGGGGATTTAGAGTTTGGAAGGGTTTAGGGTTTTGGGTTTTGGGTTTAGGGTTTAGGGTTTAGGGTTTAGGGTTGAGGGTTGAGGGTTGAGGGTTTAGGGTTTAGGGTTTTAGGGGTTTAGGAGTTTGGAGATTAGGCGATTTGTGCTTCAGGGCCCTTGACTCTTACTAGACTACTAACCGGTTGCCCAAAAGGTATAGAACGCTAGAGCATTGGCTGTATTTTTAGGGGTTTAGCGCATGAACCTCCAAGTAACCCTGAAGCCTTGCTTGGAGGCCCAGGGGACTTAGTAAGTAGGGTTATAATTGGGGTAACTTCAGTTAGGGTACTTACAACTCTACTTATAACCTACTTACTAAGTCCCCTGAACCTCCAAGTAGCCCTTAAACCCTGAGCCTTACATTAAACCATAAACCCTAAATCCCACACCTTAAAGGCTAAAGCCTAAACCCTAAACCCTAAACCCTACAATTGGGAACGAGAGCCCTGGCATGTGAGCACGCCGAAGCCGAGGCTTCTGGGACGTTCCGGCCTGTGATGCGCCGGGCTGGACCTCGTCGGGGGGCACGGTTGCTTTAGGGTTTAGGGGTTTAGGGGTTTAGAGGTTCAGGGGTTTAGGGGTTTAGGGTTTAGGGGTTTAGGGGTTTAGGGGTTAAGGGGTTTAGGGGCTTAGGGTT